TATTTATAATTATATATATAATTATATATTCTATAGTTTAATAGTCTTTCGAATAAAACTTTATATAAAATATGTATGAAATATCTATACATAATATTTCAAAACATGAATGTTAATAGATATTTAGCATAAATATTCTGTGCTTATGTGCCTGGAAATGGTGCCTGGAAGGTGAATTAGTGAACGTTGGCAGAATTAAGATGAATTTCAAAAATTGTGAATAAAAGTATGAGGAAGGAGTAACATGTGGTATACAGAACGTGCGCTTTGATATACGGCAATCATAGTAACTCTGTCGTCGGTCTTTTTCGTACATCGAGTAACCACCGACCGATGGGTCGATGCAGCGTCGGCGCTGTGAAGTGTGCAACCCCCGAGACGGGCACCCCACTACTTTCACCTCCGCTTTACCAACGATTATGTCAACGTGAAGGTGCGCAACGGGGAAGAGATCCTCTTTCTCCTCTCCTCTTTTCTCCTGTCTTTCCATGTCCTGTCCCTCGATTTCGATGCATCTCGAGTCGTCGCCGTGATCCGCAGAACGCTATATGCCACACACTGGATCACTGTACGTTTAATATCCGCGTGTTCATCAATCCGGGAACGAATTTAATTGAAGTGCTCGAACATTTTCGCTCGGAAAACGAGCTATAACGATCAAACACGAGTCCATCAGGTGAGTGATTTGAGTGCGATACAAAAAATAAATTGATTTTCGAATTGATCTCTAAATCGGTCTCTGATAACCTGGAGAATCTGGAGAACTTAATCCTAAAATCGAATCTACAACTGTGAGAGGTACTGTAATAACACACTTTATTCGAGGGATGTTCTATAGCGAACGTTCTTAGGACATACGGACATCCTCTGAATGTTCTTTGGAACGTTCCTTGGAGATCTGTGCTATTAGGGTAATTGTGATAGATAGAAAGAATTAATGTAGCAATCGCGTATCGCGAGGGAAATTTTTCATGTGGTTCCATATAAAACTGAATGTCATTCATCGACATATTTTTTTATTATGTAGTTATTGTTACGTTATCGCTTTGTAATATCGAAAATGAATATCCATCATTATGTCAAGTTAGAATTGCCTCAATATTGTGCTCTATGTTAACAAATCGATTCAATGTGAATTTCATATTCAGTGATATTATATTTATTTTTCTACTGAAGCCATCGTAATGAAATGTAAGAATGATTATTATCGAACGATGATTATCATTGATTATAATGCATTTTTGTAAAAGTTAACGATTTTGATGATCATTAAGAACTTTTATTTTGATTATTTTCCTTTTTTAACAGTATTTGTCGTATTTGAACAACATAACAATGTATCTCTAAGATATGTCTAGTTGGAGTTCTGATACTTTCTAAATGTCTAGAAAAAGTTTTGGTTTCCTATACGATTCAGACTTTCGAATTGCTTGAATAATTACGACTATGATCGTGATGAGCTTATCAGTTACATTAAATTGTTCAATAATTCACAAGGAAAAACTAGTTCGCTGTCGTGAATTAAGACATCGTAATATAATAGTGTGCCAGAATGGACGATTCGAAGCGATTGGACTCTTCAAATGATATTGTGTTTCAAAAAAATCTTTCTCCCTTATGGAGACCATGTCGAATAAATTCTATTCTCAGAATTATCAGAATTGTATCGATATTCAAGATAATTACATTCAGTAATTGTTATTAAGATACAAGGATAATTAAAGAAGGAAAAAAATCTATTTCCTCTGCTTTTTAATTTTTCTTCTTTATATGTTTCTGTTTCTCTTCTTTCTATGCTTTCTCCATTCCTTCTTTTTTAATTCTCGCTCTTCTTCTTTAATTCTAAAGTAATCAGAGATATAATTAAATAATGTATATCTATAATTTTAAAAATCTTGCTTGCCACATGTTCATGTTAACGCGATACATCGCCATTGTGGATATGAAACAATTTTTATTTTTATAAAATGCGATAATTAGCAACAAGGTCTATCTAATGATCTCGTACGTACGTGTATTCAACGACATTCTCACGCTTATGTACGCAAATATAACCATTCACCGATTTATATTTTATTTTCGCCAATGGTTTGTAACTTTTATTATTCACATGTACGAAGTAGAACTTATTTAGTGAAGTAGCATATGAATATCTAAGAATGATTTCGAGCCAAGATTTAAGGTACGGAATTTATTGATATACGACATAAAACTTACAGTGATAAAACGTACAGTCGTTTACTAAAAGATTGCAACACTTTTTTCGAATTCATCCTTGCTCGTAGAGCAAGGTGATTCAATAAATGGTGAAATTCATAAGTAAGAACCAATCACTCGATGCTGTATTCTGAAAGTTATCGAAAAAAAGTGTTACAATGTTTTAGTAAACGACATTATTTTATATATATATTTTATATATA